GAGTTTAAATTCTCCTTTTAAAACAGAACTTCCTTCTTAATGGTCAGTGTGAGAAGTCAGAAGTCTGTATCCTTTCTTTCCAGGATTAATGAAGAAAGGACCAGTTTGACTAGATGAGTACTGTTTTAGTTACCTCAGTGTCCTCTAACGGACATACCACAGATGGGCAGCTTGAACAAACAGGGCTTTCTTCTCTTACAGTTTAGGAGGCTAGAAGTCCCAGTTCCAAGTGCCAGGCTGTAGGGGCTGTGTGAAGGCCCCATCAGCCTTGGGTTTCAGCTCTGCCTCTTGCTCCCAGCCCACTGGAGCTGGAAGCTTCTCTTAACTCAGGCAGCTGCTGAGGCTGACATACCCAGGATCAACAAGCAAGATGGCACAGTCCCCAGATTATCAAGCAACACAGCAGGTCAGTGAGATGAAGACGCAGCCAAATAAATATGTGATCCCAGTGTGCCAAAAGCTCAAGACCTGTCTCAAAACATCTTTTGTACGGGAAGCAGACAGCATCCATAAGACAGTCACTCAGCTGCTCACAGCACATTCCACCGTGGAGATGATTACCAGCCTCATCATGGGGAATAACTACATCCATCTGCTCAGCCATTCAAACCAGGCCCAGCCAGGTTGACACTTAACGTTAACTACCACGGGTATATTCATCTCATTGTAGTTGCAGCAACAGACATTACATGCCAGGCACCGTGCTAGGCGCTGGGAATAAACAGAAATAAACTACTCATAGCCCCTTCAGTCAATGAACTTAACTAAAGCAGTCTGTAGGGACAACATAAGTAATTTAAACTTGTCATTGATGCTAAAATTGATCCACCATGGCCATTCTGAAAGCAGTTTTAGAAAGATGTTTTAAGAATACATGATACTGCCTTTAAAGTGGCACTCTTTGGTGGAATTTACATTCTGAGTGGAAAGTGCCTATGTGTGTTGGGTGCTGGCACATTGGTTCTAGCTTGTGGCAACCCTGGTACCGCAGACCGCGACGCTGGCCAGCTCTGTGCTGTCCTCACAGCTGGTTAAGTGGTAAAGAGAGAGCAAAGCCTCGGTTTGGCTGCACAGTAACAGTGATGTGTCCTTCTCGCCCTCAGCTTATGTCGTCTGTTGAGTATTTCTCAGGCACAAAGGGATCACAGTGTGACTGCTTTTCCACAGTTGTGATTGCATCCTGGTTCTAAGTGAGCTCTCCGCCCCATGCACCTTCTGTAGCTGTGGAGACCCTGGTCCTTGCCCTACTCAGGTGCAATCTTGTTTTGTTTTTCAGTTACTTACACGCCAAGTCAATCATCCACAGAGACCTCAAGAGTAACAGTATCCTTCCTGAGATCGGGCTGCGGAGCTGGAACTAGCCTCTGTCTTCCGTGCTGGCTCTTCGGCCGAGTTCGCGTACTGTACAGAGGTCGGAGGAGTGGGTTTGCGTGAGCACATAGCACAGCGGGCTGTTGGGTGGTGGAGCCCCGCACACCACCGTCCAGAGTCTTTGACGGCTTGTGTTCTGTCCGCACTGTACACCTGTGGCTCTGTAGCTGCCTGCTTGATTCTGGCCCTCAGCCCTCTGATGGTGCTCAGAGGTGGTTAAGCTGTAATACAGGGCTCTAAATCATGTAACGCTTGAGAGAAACAGAATTTGCCATTGTCTTCCATCAGCCCAGGGTTAAGTCCCTGCTGCCAGTCTACAGTGCAGTGAGGCTGTGCGGCTTGCCCAGCAGGGCCCCACGGTCCCTGGGCCTCCCTCCTCGAGTCTGATGGGAAGGCTCAGTGCCTCCACAAACTTGGGACAACCTCTTACCTCTTTCCAGCACATTCCAAGTCCTGAAAGTCTTAAAAGCAGGTCATGTCAACTAAACAAGTAACTATTTTTAAAATGATTTTCTTCGTGGTTTTTTTTTCCTTCTTTTTTTTTTTTTTTTTTGCGCGCAGTGGGTGGGATGGGGAGTAGCTGAAGGCAGACCAGGGGAAGAAAAAAACTATCACATTTACTGCCATTGAACTGTAAAGTTACTTTCTTACCTTTAAGAAGAAATACAAAGTACTACACTTTTTAAAGCCTGTCGTGTTTCAGAGTTACGGGAATTAGGTGTCTTCCTTCAGATTTTCAGAACACTTGCTCTGACAGGAACGGGAGGCCTGTCATTTTCCTTTACTTGTCTACCTCAGATATATTTCTTCACGAAGACCTCACGGTAAAAATAGGTGACTTTGGTCTAGCCACAGTGAAGTCTCGGTGGAGTGGGTCCCATCAGTTTGAGCAGTTGTCTGGATCCATCTTGTGGATGGTAAGAACTGTGGTCTTTTCTCCATTGACGGGTGCTGGACCCTGAGCTGCTGCTGAGTTGACTAGAAACTCACTGAAGCGTCCAGTAACGGCGTGTTCATGGTTCCTGCACTCTCAAACCGGTGCACAGCTGGCCTTTATGTCAGTAGATCGTTGGGTTTTCTCCTTCGAAAGAATATTATGAAACAAATTAAAATATATTTTAAGCAAAAAAAAAGGTTTTTTCTAAACATTGCCTGAATTTTATTCTGAATTCTCTTTAAAATATTTTGTATTCAGAATGTTCTGTGTCAGTGGCAAATCTGTGAAACATCTCATAGCATGGATGAACCTGGAAGCCCTTCTGCTGACTGAAGTTAGTCGTGGAAGGACAAATGTTATATGAGACCACTATTGTAAAAAAATTAAGGGAAGGATTTCACACACACACACACACACACACAGTCTTTTGACAGTCACCGCGCAGCTGGGGAAGAGGATGAAAAAAGTGTTTGGTGTGCCATGTTTAAAAATCAGGTGTGCCCTGATGGGAGGTGTTATTTGCGGCCTTCATAAGATTTTGCTTTAAGAACAACAATCTTGTGAGAGGCTGTTTCACAGTAGAATTGAAGCCTAAATGGAAAAGGACTCCTTTAGACTAGAGAGGACCTTACAGGGACAGCAGATGGGGAGGAAGGTCCGAAGAAAACGAGAGGCCATCTTTCACGCTGCCGGCCTCGCTCTGTTCTGACCTCTGCTTTGTGGAAGCAGAGAGACATTGAGGAAGAAGATAACAAGGGCTTCTGTGGAGTTCCTGAGCCCGTGGTTAAGGGCAGGCAGAGGGCCTGTCCCCTGGGCAGTGGTTGTCACCAGGCGCCAGGACCCCTGGGTCCTCGGAGCCCTTGGGTGCCCCCTGTGTGGGGCTGGAGTCTCTTCAGAGGCATAGAGCGGAGCAGCGCACAGCAGCAGATGGCGCAGGGTAGGTGGGGTCCAGCTGCTGCTGAGCCCGGCGCTGAGGGCCTCTCAGTGGGCCTCTTCCCTCACCCCTTTCCCATGTGGTTAGATTTTTGAAAACACTTACCTTTTGTTTGTTTTTAAGAAATAGGTGATCTGTGTTCACATGTAATGGTGCATTTTATTTTTTATTTAAATGAATAAATACTGTAACAGGTTCTCAGTTAAATTTTAGGAGAGTAAATACCCATAAATGTAACCCCATCAACAGCTCTTTGGGCTCCTGAGTAATTTTTAAAAGTGGAAAACAGTCCTGAGACCAAAGAGTTTGAGAACCGTTGCTCTAAACCAAAGGCAGGGTGTCCCCATGGTCTTCATGCAGTTTTAAGCTTTAAATAACTTCATCTGCAGGAAGGCTTCGGGACTCTGCTGGGCACAGAATGTCTGAAGCCCCTTTTGCCCATGTTCCTGGAGCCACGTATAGAGGTCCTGGAAGAGAATCCCCAAGGTGGGCTTCAGAGTTAATCAGATAACCCCAGGGTTCACTTGTCATGGTACTTGAACTAGGCTGTGTGACAGGCCTGGAAGGGACATTGGACTGAGCATCAGGAGAGCTGTGTTTCAGTGCCCTGTTTGTTAACTTGGGAGTTCCCTGAGTTCCCCCATCTCGCCATCTGTGAGATGGTGGCTGTCCTAGGGGGTTCCTAGCCCCTTCCAGTTCTAAGATTCAGTAAGGGGAGCTTGCTAGATCCTTTTTAAGTTCTCTAATGTGTAGTTAGGAGTTTTGGTGGCATAGTGCCTAAGGCATTTGATTACTAACCAGAGGCTGGCTGTTCAAACCCACCAGCCACTCCTTGGAAGGAAGGTGGCGCCATCTACTCCCATAGCGATATTACCCGGGAAACCCAAGGAGGGGTTGTTGTGAGTCAGGTCCGACTTGACGGCAGTGAGTTTGTTTTGGTGTTTTTTTAATGTGTAGTTAACTGTTTAATCAGTAGTTACAGGTAAGGGAGGATTGATTGTTAGAGTTGGACCCCCAGCTCCTGTAAGATCACACCTGGTGAGAATAAGGTACCAGTGTACCCTGAGAGAGGAGGAAAGGCAGACGTTAGTGCTGAAATTGTGAGACCTGAGATGAGGAAGAAACGGCTGTCACGTTTTAAAGATGCACTTTGACTCGTGTGGGGACACCAGACTCAGTCAGCTCTCTTTCAGAGACCCCCCCCCCAACACAGTTAGCAGATTAACATATTTCCTATTTCCTTTGTTGTTGCTGTGTGGGTAGATGGTCCATCCTTTCCTCCAGCATGCTCAGTTTGAAGACAAGCAAATGGCCAGTGGGTCACTTTGTTGTTAACTAAATTCTGGGTCAGTAGAATTCTGGGTCATGCAGAAACTGTCATGGCACCCCACCTGGGTAGTAGTTGGTCAGAGTGGAGGGGACGTGGTCCTCTGCGGTATTCACAGGGACTTCTCAACATTGCACTGTGTATGTCTTACAGGACGGAAAGAATTGTGTGGGAAATTTTACAAAGTCAATCACTGAAGTGAGTGGGGATCGGTCATACTTTCCTTGTATAAATAGGTGGTTCACAGCAACCTCTCCTCAAGCTGGGTTTGGCTTTGACAGGTCTATGTGCCGTGGCGGCCTCTCGGCAGCCTGGTGTGTTCATCACGTGACACTTGTGTGTGGCTCCTTGTGCAGAGCGTCTCGATATGTGGAAGGATGTGCGACTGAAAGCACCCACCAATAGACTGCAGGCTGAGCACATGCAGGCTCCAGGCTCCCTCAGATCTCCCCAGCCCTCTGTCCTGCTCCTCAGCCTTGCCCCGAGATGCTGCCGTGACACAGCGGGTCCGGCTCTGGCTCAGAACCAAGAGTGGTGGCAGGTGGTTCTGCTCTCAGCTGAGGCCCCAGGAGTCTCCTCCTAGGTCTTGCAGCCTGTTTTTGCAGTTAGCCCTGGTTGGGGTAGCCAATTGAGGTTTTTACTCATCTCCGATTTCTCCAGTTCCTTCCAAATAAGACGTTACAGAAGATGCAAGGTGAACGAGAAAGCCTTCAAGCTAACATCTAACCAACGATTTACTGTATTTCAGGTGAACAGCCTGTAGGAAATCTAGGACGATAGCCACTAAAGTATGGGGAAGAGAGCTACAGGGTTTGTGTGTACCTTTGCCTAAGAAGCGGCAGCCTGAAGTTCCTTCTCCCTCCCCTGCCACGTCTGCCTCTTGCTTTTGCTCAGACACCCCTGGCCTGTCTGCCACAGTGGGAGCAGGAAGGGGACTTGAGTTCTTTAGTCCTGGAACACAGATGCCCTGGATAAGGGAATCGGGGTACCAACAGGAAGCTTAAACTCTAAGGCAGCACACACCTAGTCTTGGCTGGCAGAGTCGGAATCGGAAAGTAGGAGCTGACACTTGATGGAGTGAGTCACGGCAGTGAAGGGTTCCGTGCCAGAAGGAGATGGCTGGCCACCTGAGCTGACGGCCGTGCCGCACTGTGGAGTCGGCAGAACGGGCCGCCGCTCCTGAGTTCTCCTTGTCGGTTTCACTTCTTTGACCATTAATAAGAGAATTGACTATGTACTGGATGGGTTGTTTATGACATAAACATTGCTCTGAGAGTTATCATTGTTTTTCAGGTTTTATTCAGCTGACGAGCCAACTAGAGTGTGTTTCTTTTTGTGTCTAACAGGCACCAGAAGTGATCAGAATGCAGGACAGGAACCCCTACAGCTCTCAGTCAGATGTCTATGCATTCGGGATTGTTCTGTATGAACTAATGACTGGACAGCTACCCTATTCAAACATCAACAACAGGGACCAGGTAAATACTGATTGTCTCTCAGAGTCAATACTGCTGTTTGGATGAAGGCTCCAGTTGTGGAAAGCAGTGCCGAGTCCTGAATCAGCAGGAGGGTAGTTCTGATCGCTGACCAGCTTTAGAATCTGCCGTACCCTTGTGACAGTAACACCTGCATGTAGGCCCTTGCCTTGAAATAACTGTTCAGTGTAGCCCCAAACTCCACATTCACTGCCGTCAAATCTGATCCAACTCACAGCAACCCCTCCTTGGGTTTCCGAGGTGGTATCTGTAGATTGCCCAGTCTTCCTTCCAAGGAGTGGCTGGTGGGTTTGAACTTCCAGCCTTCTGGTTAGCAGTCAAATGCCTTAGGCACTATGCCACAGAGCTCCTACGTGTAACAAGTGGGGTGAAATTCTTGATACTCTGATGACAAACTGGATACCAGAGTGGAGATTCCTGCAGCTTCCAGACCAGAGAGCAGTGAGGAGGGGGCACTGCCGCGGCGTCCGCCTCCATACCTGGCATCTGCCAGGCACTGCCCGTGGAGCAGGCACACTGCTGAGCACTTCCCAAAACACATCTTCTCAGAGCAACCGAGCTCATTCCAGATGGTTTTCGTCTCTGTTAACTGACAAGTGGAAGGAATATCATGTGAGGCTTGAATTTTTCTATAATGAGAATTCTAGTAGAGGGGTAAATTTTTACTTGTTTTTCCTAAATTCTTGTTTCTGTCCCTTAGCTTCCAGAAAGGCCCAACATAACCTCATGCAGCCTTCTGCACCAGCCACATTCAATTCACTTAGGCTTAGACAGTTGGCCAAGGAAAGGAGTCATCGTTACGATAAACTGTCCTTACTGAAATGCATTATAGACCTTGACAGTAAGAAAAAGGAGGGAGCAAGCAGTGATTCTGCTGCCACTAGGAAACAGCCGCTGACTTGCCGAGTGCACACAGGGGCGTCCGCGCTCCGTCCCGGGGTGGTCACAGAATCCCCTGGCAGCGCGCTGCAGAGTTTGGATTGAGGGCAGGGGCCCAGGCACCTGCTTTCTTCATCTGTTCCTCAGGATTCTGAGACATAGCACAATTCCAAAGAATTGAAAAAGAAAGAGAACTTCTCATGTGCTTCCCCTTAACCTCCCAACCTAATGAAACGTTTCTGGTAGACCCGCCCGGCTGTTCCCATGGGTGTGTGGGAGAGTTTTGGTCAGTAGCTCAGCTGGGTCACTTTGGTGAGAGCGGTGCGTGGGTCTCTTGCTGTGTGATGTTGGAAATGGTCTGAGCAGCCTTGTACTTGCTGATCACCCCGTCCCCGGGGCTCCCACCCTGCATTGTCCTTGGGCTTGTGGCTCTGGTGGGTCACTGAATTCTGAAGGGTGCTGGCCTTACAGTTTTAGTGTATCATCAACAGAAACCTAAGCTTCAGTATAATACAGAAACAGAGGCAGAATGGTTACACTATGTGGATCTTAGTAGCCACTGTGGGACTTTGCTTTAACATTCTGTCAATTCCTGATGCTGCTGTTAGTGGCTGTTGAGTCAGTTCTGACTCGGGGACCCCACGTGGGCAGATAGAACCGCTCCACGGGGTTTTCAGGCTGTGACCCTTCAGAAGGAGGTGGCCAGGCTCGTCTTTGGAGGCGTCTCTGGGTGGGTTAACACCGCCAGCCTTTTGGCTGGTATTGAGTGCTTAACCACTGGGACCACCCAGGAACCTCAGAAGGTATCATGTTCTTCACGTCCTTGTTGGGCTCTGTGACCTAGACGTTGCTGACCTTTGTTCCCAGCCCCTCCAGAGGTTGAGATGAGCTTAGTGACCCAGAACCCCCACTGTGAATCACATTGTTAGATTGGATTAGCAGGCAGGACGTGCCAGGGGTCGTCTCTCAGGACCCGTGGGCAAAGGCCAGACCTCTTTGGGCAAGGTTAATTTTTTAGGAGCTCTGGTAGCTTAGTGCCTAAGGCACTTGACTGCTAACCAGAAGGCTGGCAGTTCAAACCCACCAGCCACTTCTCAGAAGGAAGATTGGGCGATCTACTTCCGTGGGGATACCGCCTCAGAAACCCAAGGAGGGATCACTATGAGTCACAGTCAACTCGGTGGCAGTGAGTTTGTTTTTTCAGTCACTCAGAAGGAGCTTTGGTGGTGTAGTGGTTAAGGCATTTGGCTGCTAACCAGAAGGTTGGTGGTTCAAACCCACCAGCCACTCCATGGAAGAATGATGAGGCAGTCTGCTTCCATAAAGATTTATGGCCTTGGAAACCCAGTGGAGGTTGCCATGAGTCATAACCAACTTGACAGCAGTGAGTTTGGTTTCGAGTTTGAGACGCTCAACAATTTGAACTCATTCTTGTAACATACCAAAAATCACATAGTAGCATGTCGTTAAGGGTTATTTTGAGGACCTGTCTGCTGACAGATCAGTTAATTTTGTTGAAGCAAAGAATCGGAAAGCAGCTCTCTTACAAAGGGATTTGTTACCCATTCAGTAGAGCCCAGTTTAATGCCAGTATTGGGAAGACTCCTGTGGTGCCCTGGCAGTCTTCCCCCAAGGGCCAGTGTGTACTCCATATGGGGGAAAGGTGTGCCCTCTGTAAAGCTGGAGAAGGGTCCTTGTGCAGGCAGGGTGGTAGGGATGGGGTGAGGCTTTACCCCTCCACTGGACTGCTTTGCAGGCCGGCCAGCTGTTGGAAAGCTGCTGGAAGTTGAGATCAGAAAACTAATTTTCTTAGGACGGCCTTGTCTGTGCACCTCTCCTACCTTTTGCAAACTCCTCCTGTGGCTCCAGGGATCCTTCACCCCACTTTGTGTGCCATAGCCTATCTGTTAGCCCAGTCCCCCGTCTGTCAGTTTGTCGTCCTCTGGTAGCTTGCCTGTTGCTGTGATACTGGAAGCTTACCACCAGTATTTCCAATACCAGCAGGATCGCCCATGGAGGACAGGGTCAGCCATGATTTTTGCTCCTAACGACTGCCCCTCTCTCCTGTGGGAGAGACTCTGGTGCTCAGATTGACATTGCCAAATGCTCCATCAGTGGTTCTAGAACCAAAGAGCTTAAAATGCAGATGCCAAAGTAACTGAATAAAGAGGTTAATGTTTGTGGTTCCTACAGCTTATAGATGGAGAGAGGACTTTGCCCAGTGCCCACCAGTGGTGCTCCATACGTCATTTTTTGGAGAAGTGGCACCAGAGGTTGTGTGTGTTAGGATAGCCCCCTTCAGTGTGAGATGGACTGGATAGGGGGAGACTGGAGAGCCCACGGGGTTCAGGGTCAGGAAGACGGCCTGCTAAGTGTGGCCCCAGTCAGTGACTCTGAGGCCTCCAAGTGCCAGCCTGGTGTCCTCTGCTGTTGGTGGGTGTTCTGGACACGCAGAGCAGACATGGGTCCCGGGGACCAGCCTGTCTGTGTCAGTGTTAGCGGATTTGCCAACTTCCTCAAGGTTGCATGACGTGCTTTTTTTTCCTTCCCAGATAATCTTTATGGTGGGACGAGGATACCTGTCTCCAGACCTCAGTAAGGTACGGAGTAACTGCCCAAAAGCCATGAAGAGATTAATGGCGGAGTGCCTGAAAAAGAAACGAGACGAGAGGCCGCTCTTTCCCCAAGTAAGAAATGGTGCAGAGCTGGGCACAGCCACAGGTAGAATGCTCAGCGGCCTTCCGCGCGCAGTTTGTGTTTCGTGGGTTGGATCCCACGATGCAAACGCCACCAGATAGGGAGCATGGAGCGGTTGGCAGCAGCTGCCAGGACCATGCTCCCAACACACACCCTTCAGAGGGGCTTTGCTTCTGTCCTGCAGGTCTTGGACTTTGTGGTCTTGGACCCTTTCACTTTTTAAAAAAAAAAACATTTTCACTGTGATTTGGGTGAAAGTTTACAGAGCAAATCCATTTTCCATACAGCAGTTCATACCCATTTTGTTTCACGACATTGACTGCAATCCCCACAGTGTAGCAGCTCTCTTCCCACTTCGTCCCTGTGCTTACCTCTTCCCTGTGTCCTCCTTTCTTATGCATTCCTGCCTCCTGAGCTGTCTCCCTGTGCAAACACTGCCCTGTTCTCCCGTGATTGATCATTCTAAGGAGTGTACCTGCCTGATGTAAATGTTCACCCTACATGCCTGTCTGTAGCTTGGCTGGAGGCCATGGAAGTGCGTTCAGTTCCAGACTTTAGGGTTAGCTAGGGGCCATAGTCTCAGGGGTCTCACCAGGCTCTGTCAGAGCAGAAAATCGGATCTTTTTTTATGATTCTGACTTTGTTCCCCATTGTTCTCCCACTCTATCCAGGATCTCCTGCAGCGATCCCTTTCCGAGTAGTTGACCGTAGTAGCTGGGCACCATCTAGTTCTTCTGGTCTCACGGTCACATAGGCTGAGGATCACATGGTCCACTAGTCCCCTGGACTGATTATTTCCATGCGTCTTTGCTTTTCTTCATTCTTCCTTGCTCTGGATGAGGAGAAACCCATCGTTGCATCTAGATGGCCGCTTGCGAGTTTTTGAGACCCCAATTGCTACTCACCAGGGCAGGGTGTGGAGCAGTGTTTCTGTGCAGCTTGCTGTGCTAGTGGAGCTTCATGTCCCCCTGGACCGTGAACCCTGTCACACTCTTCAAGAGGATTGAAGACCCTGGAGAGCTTTTGTGAATTACCATACTAGAAATTATAATTAAGAAGCTTTAAAAATATTTATTTATAATTCTCTTTAAACATAAAAATAAGCCCATTATGTGTTAAAGAACATGTTGTTGTTGTTGTTA